GGGGGGGGCGGAGATCCGGCCCTCCCAAACCCACCGGGGCATCAGGTCTCGCTCGCCGTCTGTCCTCCCAGCAGCTCGTCGTGCTATCGCCTTCCTGCTGGGGCTTTCTGGGGCATCCAGGCTGGGACATGGAGGGACAACCTGGCCACAGACCTCTTGGACCAACCGGGGGCTCAGCAGGGAGCGGGTCCTGCTCCCTCCCTCTGGCAGAAGAGAGACAAGGTTCCATCAGTGCGCTATTAGTGTTAATTTTTATGATTAACATTGTTTTTCCCCTTATGGTGGAAATTTCTTGTGCCTTGTCACTCCCACAATTCCCGTCTCTCCCAGCGTCTGGTGTCTTGCCAGACTCAGGGGAGAAAAAAATCCGCTGTCAGAATTCTTACTTGAAATCCCCATTGGGCAAACGGCCCCAAATCCTGAGCTTTTTACCAAAAATAGACTCAAGAACTTGAACAGAATCATCCTGCCTTCGGGCTGCCCGTTTCTGCTGGGAGCGAGCCCCCGGCCCTGGGTGGCGAGGAGGGTCTGGGTATCTCTGGGCTTGGACCGGGGGTGTCGCGAGGACCTTCCTTGGTGGCCAGAGGGGTTTTGGCCCTTCGCGTCCTGGGGTTTGGCTTTCGGCCTCCGAAGCTGATGTCCTGGCTTGCGCTGCCCAGGCACATCTGTCCCCGAAGGCCCCGGGCCGGCCCCCCGGAGTGCCCCGCTTGGCCCGGCTTTCCCTGATGCTGCAGGTACACGGTGCTCTTCTCACACGGCAACGCCGTGGACCTGGGGCAGATGAGCAGCTTCTACATCGGGCTGGGCACCCGCATCAACTGCAACATCTTCTCCTATGACTACTCGGGCTACGGCGTGAGCACGGGCAAGCCCTCGGAGAGGAACCTCTACTCCGACATCGATGCCGCATGGCAGGCGCTGCGGACGCGGTGAGCGGGGTGTCGGGCAGGGGGAAGGGAGGATGCCCTGGAAAACCCTGCAGGCCGGCAGTCTGGAAAACAGGAAATCTCCCGGAGAGGGAATCCGGGCCGCTCGTAACGGGAAGGGGTGGCCGGAAAGCAGCTGCAGGGGGTGCAGGCATGGGGACCCGGAGGGGCAGGGATGCTGTGGGGGTATGACCTTGCTTGGGGGCGCTGGCACAAGCTGTGCTCCCCGTCTTGCTGTTCCCAGGCTCTCCCCTGGCTGTGCTCAGCCCCGGTTCCCCAGCCGGGCTCAAGGTGCAGCCCCGTGACGGGCTCTGCCTCCTCCGCCCTGCCTGCAGCCAGGCCTGGCTCGCAGCATGCCCCGGGCACTGGGGGCTGCCCCATGCGGCTGCGATACGGGGTCCGTGAGCCCGTCCGTAACCCTGCTCCTGGCAAGGGTGAGCCTCGACACACCCCCCACAACTCATCTAGCAGCTCAGCCCTGGCTGCTGCCTGGTCCTGCCGGGGGGTGCAGGGCAGCTGCTTTGGGCCCAGCTGTGAGGAGCTGGAGGAAGGCAGGGGAGACAGAGCCCCGTTCCCCCCCACCCCACCCCAGGAAGCCTTGCAGGGTGCCGTGGCAGAGCAGGGTGACCCCACATCACACTGGTGATGGGGCTCTGCTGCCTGGTGCTTGAGCGCTGACCCGCCCTCTCCTCTCCCAGGTATGGAATCAGCCCGGAGAACATTATTTTATATGGACAAAGCATCGGCACAGTGCCCACGGTTGATCTGGCCTCCCGCTATGAGTGCGCTGCCATCGTGCTCCACTCCCCACTCACCTCTGGCATGAGAGTCGCCTTCCCCGAGACCAAGAAGACCTACTGGTTCGATGCCTTCCCCAAGTGAGTGGCCTGAGGAGAAGGGGCAGGGGACAGGGGTCAGCTCTGGAGGGGCAGTGCCCGGACCAGCTCTGTCCTGGACGCCAGCCCTGGCCACAAAGAGGGGTTATGGTGACAACTGTGGACCTGTTTCCCACGATAGGCTTAAACATGCCCATCGCGATCCTCCTGCCTTGCTTTTGGTCCCCTGCGGGGGATCGTAACCCTCCCTGGGGTCACCGTGCCCCCTCCTGAGGGCCATGCCACGTGTGTACCCCACGTCCCCTGGTGGCATCGCCTCCTGGCCATCCTGTCCCAGTGTCTCTGCCCGTCAGCTTTGGGGCTGTCCCACCAGCCCCTTGTCAGGTATCACAAGCCCCGGGGGTCCCTGGGACCCCTCTCTCCCCTAAGGGTAATTTCCTGGGCTTTTTTTCCCCCCTCTGCAGAGGGCAGGGGCAGTGGCACGGAAAGGCAGCACTGAGGTGGGACGAGCTCTTGCTTCGCCTCTCCCTTGCAGCCAGGCCAGCAGGGCCCAAGGGACGGTCCCCGAGCCGGAAGCCGTGGCTGGGAGCCACCAGCCCACGCTCTGCATCCCGATGGCCTCGCGCGGCCTTTGGGGCCGGGCTGAGAACAGCCGTGCTTCCACTCCTCAAAGCCTGGCACGGCCGATCCAGGCGCGGGGAGGGCCTGGGCTCACGCTGTCCTGCAGCGGTTTCCGTCAGCCCTGCCTAGGTCCCTCGGGGCTGTTGTCACCGCTGTCTGGTCCTCGTCTGTCACGCCGGGGGAGATCTTGTCCTGGAGCTCATCCTTGGCAGAAGCTCCCTGTCCCCGTGCTCTGCTGTGATCAGAGAGCATTTCCTGGTCGCTGGCCCCGAGGGGATGTGTTTTGGGGGGCAGGAGGAATGGGAGTGCCTTGATCCCTGTACTTACCCCCCTCTCTCATCTCTTCCCCACCCACCTTCTTGGCAGCATCGAGAAGATTTCCAAAATCACCTCTCCCGTCCTCATCATCCACGGCACGGAGGATGAAGTCATCGACTTCTCCCACGGCCTGGCGCTCTTTGAACGCTGCCCCAAGGCTGTGGAGCCGCTGTGGGTGGACGGGGCCGGGCACAATGACATTGAACTTTACAGCCAGTACCTCGAGCGCCTTCGGAAATTCATCTCCCAGGAGCTGGCCAGCCAACGCAACTAGCCGCGGGGCGGGGGGACGGGCAGGGGGTTTCTGCCTGTTTCTCCAGTTCCCCCAGTGTCCCTCCCCAGTCCCTGCTGCTGGAGGTGCAATGAGTTTGTACAGCCTCAGCTCCAGGCTTGGGAGAGGGCCGGAGGCCCTGGAGCGGACGGTGCGTTTCCTCTTGGGCATGAGCACAACTCTCCTCTCTCCCGGTGTCAGCCCCGGCGCTGCTGGCACCACTGGCCGGGCTGGCAAGAGAACGGCAGCTCCCTCCTTTCCCCTTCCCCAGAAAGATGAGAGCCCACCCTCATGATGGCGTATCCTTGGCTTCGGACATGTCCTCGTCCCCTCTCCTAAAACAGCGAACTCCTGAATTCCTCCTGGCCGCTCTGCTGCTCTGACTATAGCAATAAGGCGAGTTGGAGAGGGGCTGGGGGCCCGGCCCCCTCCCCAGCGTCGCTGCGGGGCGGGGTGGAGGAGCGGGCAGTTCCTGCTCTCGATGGAGCTTTCCCGGGATCGGCGCTGGTGGCAGCAGGGTGCCTGGTGTTCGCCCCGCAGCCGGGGCGGAGCCGTGTCCCCAAGGGGAGTTCGGGGACGTGTGGAGGAGGTGCCCCCCCTGCCCCGCACCCCCTCCGGTCTGGCCCTGCTCTGCCTTCTCAGTAGAACCGCAACTTCAGGCCTTTTATTTCTCTTGTTTGCCTTAACTCGGGGACTCGTGTAGTTTTGGCTTACTGAAGCTCTCCCGCATTCCTCGCTTCCCAATCCATGCAAACAGCTGCTGGCTCGAGCGGCGTTCAGCAGCGAGAACTGGCAGGAGGCTGAAATATGCCCCTTGCTCCTCCTTTGGACCAGCAGTTCCAGCGCAGGAAATATTTTTCCATTCTGATGTGGAAGTGAATGTCAGAGCACGTGGCACTTGCGAGCAGCCGGTCCAGGTACCTTTGCTTGCGTGTGGGAGCTGGTCGGTGCGTGTGGTCCAGGATTCAAAGCATCGCTGCCGTCCGAGGGGGTGAGCAATAGGCTTTTGTCACCTGGTTGTTCTCGGCCAGCATCCCAGCGAGTGTGAGGTGGTACATGGAGGCAGCTCTTCTGCTGGGATACCCTCTTTTTTTCCATTTCCTGCTGCTGTGTTTTAAAAAAGGAAGGAAAACGAATCGCTGACTCCCTCCAAACAGCCTCCCTCTGCTCTCCTGCTCTGCTTGTGGCTGTAGGATGTGCAGATGAATATTTGGTAACAACAACTTGGGGGCAAAAAATGGTGTTGGTTCTCTATTTGGGGTTCAGAGCACCTGATGCAGGTGGGTAGGACAGAAAACCCTGCAGCCCTGCTGTGGCTCACGCTGGTCCAAGGCGAGCATGGACGTGCTGGCGGTCCCTGAGGAGGAGATGTGTTGACGTGAAACCTGTCATAAAAAGCGCTGGCAGAGGCAGGTGTTGAGTTTGATACCTCAAGTACTAATTTGCTGTTTTGAGCAATAAAATAACCATCCTTGGTGCATTAGGGGAGAACAAATTACATCGAAAAGATCAGTTGCAGAGACCGGTGTCTTCTGTTGGTGATCTAGAGCAGTTTGTCACCACCACCAGTCGAGCTGGGGGTGTTCTGTAAAAATCCCAGAGCAGCTCATAAAATAATTTACAATGAATTCCTGGAGAAAGTGTTGCTTTCCTCTTATAAATGCAGACATGTGGGCGCGTCTGTTCTTCGCTCGCTCTTTTTCTATTTCTTTTTTTAAAGGCAGAGCGCTCGGGTTTGCGCTTTTTTGGGTCAGCGCCTGCTCCGAAATCACCCCGGGAAGAGCTGTTCAAGGTGTCCGTGTGTTTTCCTGCCCCCGGGGCATCCCTCGCCCCAACCCAAACAGCAAAGCACCACTCTGGCCCTTCCCGTGCCCACAGGGACCCTCGCAGGGCTCCCAGGCACCGGCTCCCCCCTCCCTGTCACCCTCGCGTCCCCTCCTCCCCAGTGCAAGGCCGTGGGGCCCGGCAGGCTCATGTGAGGAGCGATAATCTCCTTAGGCGG